TCCCCAGCACCACCACACTCAGCCTCCTGTGACAGGCAGAAACTCAGGATATAGAGTGGGGAAGTGACAGCTGTCAGCTGTCAAAAGAGGCCCAACCGGTGGTGCGGGGAAGAGTCAGCTGTGTCACAGGAGAATAAACTCTCCTCCCCACACTGCCCGCTCTGCCTCCTGTGACAGCCAAAGGAGTCAGGCTGGAGAGCAGTTACAAGCACTCAACAATCAGATGACCGTTGAGTGTTTGTAAATAATTGAGGACATAGTATGTTTACTGTGTCCCAAATTATGAATGAACAGGAAGTGCTCTACTCCACTTCCTGTTCATTCATGATTGTGGACATAGTAAACATAATATCTCTACAGGTTTGGAATGAACAGAAACACTCAGAGGCTTCCTGTTCATTCATAACAGGGGCTGCAGAAAAAGAGATTCAGGACTCTGTGTCCTCAATCTGTTTTTCTATTTCAAAAAGGAAATATCAGGGGTCTGTTTAGACTAGGGTTGCACAGATACCAAGTACAGTACTCGGTACAAGTACGAGTATATGTACCAATACTTTTGAGCTCCAAGACTAGACTAGAGAAAAATTCAAAAATTAGGAGGCAGCTGTCATTTGTAAGGAGCACACGGAGCTCTTGGGATTTGTACATCTCTGTTTTAATGTACGATTTTGTTTTTATAAATATAAAGGGATGCACCGATACCAGTTTTGCGAGTACGAGTACTGGTACTTGACGAGTACTTACAAGTACGAGTACTGATACAGTTTTGTTTATCATCATGTGACAGTTTTTCTAAAACAATACAGACTAATGATTCAGGACAGTGGTGGGGGGCCAGAGCCAGGTCCCAGCTGCAACCCTGATAGTTCTCATGAAAATGCCAAGTATCGGCATTGGTACTCGAAAAGTATCTGTGCATCCCTAGTTTAGACCCATGATATTTCCCAGAGCCCCAACAGTAAAAATAAATAAAGAAAAAATTTAAAAAACGTTTTAAAAAGGTTAGAAAAAATAATAATTTTCGTTTTCGGCCTGACAATTTTATTTTTGGTTTAGGTCTGAAAATTCAAATTTGGTGCTCCTCTAATAAATACCATTACAATAGACATAATACATAGTAAATAAAAGCTTGGACACAAGTAATAACAAAAAAACTTTCTAAGGCAGAAAAGAAGGACACATTTTAGTGCCCGTGCACACTAGGTGCGCTGAACTGCACTGTGCAACCTTTCCCAGTGCAGTCCCAATGCAAACACAAGGCAGTTTGCATTGATTTCAGCACAGTTCACAGTTGTGCTCTGAAAATAAGGCTGGGCACACACCTTACAACCATCGCAAGACTTTTGTCTTGCGATGGTTGTAAGGTAATTAAAAAAAACGTACGATCTGCCTATCTTGGACAGGCAGATCGTACTTGCAATGATCGCAAGCTTGCGCCCCCTGAGGGGGCTTGCGCACACCGGCCCGTCCGGCTTTTATCTTACAAACATGCTACACACCCGCCGAACGTCGTACGATGCTCGGCGGGTTTTTGAACATGTTCCTAAGATAAAAGTCGTGTGACCTTACAGTAGTAGAGGTCGCACGGCTTCCACACACCTTACGATAATCGTACGATTGCGGGATTTCCCGCAATTATCGTATGATTGTCGCAAGGTGTGTGGGCACCTTAAGTCTGTCATGCAGCACTTTTTTTCAGCACAGTGCAGTGCAACACAATGCTCTAAATTGCACTGAGCTGGGGCCTATAGAACTGATGAAATGTCACTTTGTGACATTTCAATAAAATCCTAACAAAAAAAATGACAGAGATTTCTGGTGTGCAGTCCGAGTGCCCACCAGCAACTGCATTCTAATGTATCCATTTATTTGCGCTGCCCTTGTATGAAGGTACATGACACCATCCCAGTTATGCAAACCACAGAGTATTAATATGCAAAAAAAGGCTGGTTAAGCTTTTTTTTTTAAAGGAGAACTATGAGGTGAGTGCTTTTCACTCACCTCATAGTTCTAGTCGACCTGTGACAATAAGACTGTCACAGGTCGGCTCAGTAGATCGGGAGGTGAGCTAACACATACCGGCGTTCGCTCACCTCTCGATCCTGTCACGGCTCTCGGCCGTGACAGGGGAGGGGCTGGATTCCCCCCTCCCCGCTCCGATCCGCCAGCGCTGACTGGCGGAACGGACGGGGCAGGTACAGTTGGCTCTGCCTTTCGATAGACAGAGCTACCTGTCAGTCATGCAGCTGGGTGGATCCCGGCATAATTGTCGGGATCCGTTCAGCTGCGGCGTCTCAGTATACCGCGAGCTACAGCTCGCGGTATACTGAGCCTATGGTGACGGGAGGACGCTAGTTTGTGTCCTCCCGTTACCCTAAGGAGAACTATGGGGAAAAGACTTAACCCCATAGTTCTCCTTTAACACAGGTTTCCCTTATATTGGCTTTTTAAAATAACAAATGCAATAATTTAGAGGCTGGAATAAAGGTTTAGTGTAGCATATTACTTCTGGTGATTAAATAGTGCATTTTTTATAGAAGTCTATACATCAGACTAAAAAGAGAAATAAAACTCAGAAAAAAAAAAGGACAGAGGGACTTGGTTCCAAAAGAGGAACAGCCACTTCAAAGAGGAACATTTAAAAGCTATGTATAAATAGCTGAAAATGTATTATGAAGGATAATCCAAATATTGCAAAACGAACAAATAATAAATACAGGACCATATGCAGTAAGAATATTGCAAGAAATAAAGCAGGGTAGTTCAGATTTTTTAGACCACTTACCAATTAACTGAATGATGTTGATTCCAGATGCTATCCATCCCTCTCTAAAACATGGCAACAAACCAGAACATGAAGAAGGTAGGGGTGCTGAGCAGCTCTAACGGGGATGAATACTTCTCATCAGCTGCTCCAATAACACCACCAATTTAGAGACACAGAGGGTCTTAGTGAAAAATAAGTAATTGGACAGAAAATGTACCAATAAACACCTTGAACTAATGGCTGGGCAAAAGGTCTACCCTAAGAGCTTCTGCAATATCAAAGGGAATTATATGATAATCAGTACTATTCCTTGATGTCTTTCTCTAAGCAATGTGGCTGCTTTCATAGTGGCTTATTTCGTGTATATTCTAAAGTGTAGTTCTAAAAGTGAAAAAAAAAAACCATTTACACCAGTGGAGAGCCTCTATTACAAAGTAAGTTTTCATACAACATAAGATTGGCAGCTTCAAATCAAAATAATTTGTAATATAGGTCATATGGCATAGAAGGGGCCCAAAGGCAAGGAGAGAACTTTATTTATACAGCTTGTAGGATGGTGCTAGCTAATGAAATTACCTTTGTGTACGCAACATGGAGTGTAACTTTATTCCGGTTTAAACTTTAATTCTCCTTATATATATATCTTACCTATGCATACCTATGCAGGGTCTGAACAGCACTTCCAAACTGCATTAGGGTATTTGAACCATGTTGTATTTTCCATCAAAGCCCTGTGGTTTTCAGTTTTGCTTTTGGCATTTGAAAGAAAATTAAAGCCAAACCCTTTTTTGGTTTTACTTCTCTTTGTGTTACATGAATTTATTTACTGTGACCCAAAAACAGCAGATAGTGGGCTTATGCCCATTCTTAGGTGACATTGCACAATCGCACTACAGTTAAGAAGGATCCCAGCAATTTTGTTGGGTTGCACCTAGACTGCCTGACAGCTGGCTCTTCCTCTCTGCACATGGCTGACAAGAGACAACCATGCTGTCCCATCTGTAGCTCCAGCCAGCACTGCAGGAACAGAGAGGGAGGGAATCCCTGTGAGGGGCAGTGGCTGACAGTCTGCAGGGAAAAGAGACCAAGACTAAGAGTGATGAACGGTCATGTGGTCAGTCAGCTCAGCTTAGAGCCGTCGTAGTACAGCTGCAGTGTATGCTCTAAGCAGCAGGGAGTGTATGTCCTACTCTCCCCATACTAGGAATGCACCGATACCAGTACTTGCTCTGATGCTTACCACTGACACTGGAACTTCCGGTCAGAGGGAGGTCTCCCTCTGACCGGCAGTGCCAAGGGAGCATAGAGCCGGCTTCCTTTCCAATCAGGAAGCCGGGCGGTGGGTTACGCCTCCCTGATTGGCTAGGAAGCCGGCTTCACTTGTTGCATGGCAGCATGGCTTTCTGACCAATCAGGAAGCAGGGAGGCCGGTCATTACGTGCCATCCGGCTTCCTGATTGGTCAGCAAGCCAGATTCACTTGTTGGTAGGCAGCCTGGCTTCCTTAACCAATCAGAAAGCTGGGTGGCATATTATGACTCGCCTCCCGCTTTTCTGATTGGTCAGGAAGCCACGCTGCCTAGCAACAAGTGAAGCCGGCTTCCCAGCCAATCAGGAAGCCGGGGGCAGGTCATAACATGCCACCCAGCTTCCTGATTGGCTAAGGAGCCAGCTTCACTTGTTGCTAGGCAGCCTGGCTTCTAGACCAATCAGGAAGCCGGACGGGACCTCATGGCCCGAAGCCCAGCTTACTGATTGATCAGGAAACAAGGCAGCTTCGGCAAGTGAAGATGGTGTTCTTTCGATAGAACACCAGTTTCACAGGCAATCAGGAAGGTGGCGGACGGATCATGATTCGCCACCCAATTTCCTGATACCACCCGATATCGGCGAGTATCGAAAGAAAAATATCGGTACTCGAACTCGATACCGAAAAACCGGTATTGGTGCATCCCTACCCCATACTTCTCCTTTAACTAAACAGTAAATGTGACTTTCACCATTCACAGTGGTGAATCATTCACTGTCACATGCATTAGAAGATTCACCTGCAACAAATGAATGTCCGATTCACTGCTTTATAAATATGCACCTGAAAAACGATTTATGTCAGATTTAGGATGAACAGGCAAAATGTTGTAAAGTGACTGGTAATATGCATAAGTTAATTTTATTAAGATTAGTAAATTTTACATTTACTCAGCAGGACATCGGCATTCTTCAGTACAGCTACAGCATCATGTCTGAAGGAGTAAGTAACAACGGTCACGGGACTGTAGAATTTTACTGTTAAAAAATTAATGTTAAATGGTAAAACATGGATATGTCTGTCTTAAAAGCTCAATTTGGGGTAAAATACTATATTCTAATAACTATATGCAGGAATCCCTAGTAGTCAAACAGAATTCAATTTCTTTAAGTCTGAACAGTTGAGCTTTGGGCTTCTGTACTTTTACATTTACTAAACATAAATTTGTTTGGTAACACTTGCTGTAAACAACACAATGGTTCCCATTCAATAGCAGAAAGGAAAAGAGAAATAGCACAACCTAAAAATAATTAAAAGGTACACTATAAAAGTACAAATATATCCCAACAGCGTTAACACATTATAATACTACAAACATATCCCAGCTTTCCAGACCATAGCATATGCACTTACTGTTAGTTGTGTTGTTAATAATAATAATGATGATAATAGTTTAAAAAATAAATATAATTGTGTATATATATATATATATATACACACACAATATTGCCAAAAGTATTGGGACACCCCTCCAAATCGTTGGATTCAGGTGTTTCGTGAAATTTCTTTGCTACTAAATATTCCACGATCAACTGTTAGTGGTATTATAACAAAGTGGATGCAACTGGGAACAACAGCAACTCAGCCATTAAGTGGTAGGCCATGTAAAATGCCAGAGCGGGGTGCAGAGTCAATAGCTACAGACCTCCAAACTTCATGTGGCCTTCAGATTGACACAACAACAGTGCGTAGAGAGCTTCATGGAATGGGTTGCCATGGCTGACCAGCTGCATCCAACCCTTACACCACCAAGTGCAATGCAAAGCGTCGGATGCAGTGGTGTAATGCACGCCGCCACTGGACTCTAGAGAAGTGGAGACGTGTTCTCTGGAGTGCCAAATCATGCTTCCCTGTCTGGCAATCCGATGGACATGTCTGGGTTTGGCGGTTGCCAGGAGAACGGTACTTGCCTGACTGCATTGTGCCAAGTGTAAAGTTTGGTGGAGGGGGGATTATGGTGTGGGATTGTTTTTCAAGGGTTGGGTTGGCCCCTTAGTTTTGGGTGCCAAGGTCGCCATCCTCCACCGTGGCATTGGCTTACACTGCCACAATATATATATATAAAATCTGAAATGATAATGTAAAAAATGTGTTCTGCCATGCCTTGCAAAATAAGAAGCATTTAGGAAACTTGGCTTTCAGTAATGTGCACAAGCAGTGGGAAGTTGTTTGCATACTTCCTCCCTTGACAAAACAACCAAATCAATTTTTAGAAAGCCTAAAACAACTTTTAGAAAGTTACATTTGAAAGTGAACACATCACAAATTAAAAGCAGAGGACCACAGAACGATTGTGCTAGATTAAATATAATATTGTACCTGCAAATATACTGTCAATTCCTAAACAATTTAGCTTGCCATCTAAATAAAGACAACTTTTGCTTCCGTAGAAAAATCCTGTTTTGCAATTTAGCATAATCAGTTTTGTAATTCACATATGGCTTAAAAGAGAAGTGAAGCCAACCTTTTTTTGACTTTACTTCTCTTTTGAGTCACGGGAGTCCATTTTCGAATAAACTTGCCAATAGCAGGCTAATGCCCCCTCTCTCATGACAGGGCACAGCCGTAGCGCAATAGAGAAGATGACAATTTTGTCAGAATCTGCCCCAGCTGACTAATAGATAGCTGGCTCTACCTCTTCGTGCGCCTGAGAGCTAAAGCCAGCTGTACCCGCCCCTTCCCATGTCTGAAGCTCCAGCCAGTGCTGAAAGAACAGAGAAGGAAGGGGAGGATCCCTAAAGGGATCTGTTTTACACAAACTAGCGTCCTCCCGTTACCCTAAGCTCAGTATACCGCGAGCTACAGCTTGCGGTATACTGAGACGCCGCACCTGGAGCGGATCCCGACGTAGCTGACGGGATCCGCCCAGCTGCGTGAGTGACAGCTTGCTCTGCCTATCTAGAGGCAGAGCCAGCTGTACCCGCCCCCTCCCCCGTCCGTTCCGCCAGTCACCGCTGGCAGATCGGAGGGGGGAGAGGGGAATCCAGCCCCTCCCCCTGTCACGGCAGAGAGCCGTGACAGGATCGAGAGGTGAGGGAACCCGGTATGTGTTCCCTCACCTCCCGATCTACTGAGCCGACCTGTGACAGTCTTATTGTCACAGGTCGGCTTAGCACTATGAGGTGAGTGGAAATCACTCATCTCATAGTTCTCCTTTAAGGAGAACTATGGGGAAAAGCCTTAACCCCATAGTTCTCCTTTAAATCATATCTGAACCCCAAGACAATAATGTTGTATATTGCAGCTTACCAGTCCTCATATGTAGTGGCTGTATTAGTTTGCTTTTCAGTTTTTTTCCCTTTATTCTCACCTAGTAATCCTGTAAATACCATGCTTCGTGTTCTTGGGTGGCTTACTCTTCCACTGTAACTATGGAGGGAGCAATGGTTGTCACCCAAGCTGCTCTCCTGACTTGGTCTACAAAGAGGTCTTCCTCTTATTTGTTTACAAAAGATAGTTTGGGAGACAGATAGGAATGTTTGTGCCTTCAGGTCAGCTCACATTAACTGACAAAGACACTGCATTTCTGGCTAGATCGACAGATGTTTTCTGTAATAGCTGATAATGTACTTAGTTTGAAAAATTAAAACTAAAGCTTTCACCACATATAAAGACTGGTAAGTAACTGACTGCAATATATAACATTTTTTGTTCTTGGGTTTAGATATCCTTCAACAAGTTATCGAAGGAAAAAATTGGAACATAAGGAAAACAATCCCAAAATTCATATGCAAACAGAAACTGTGGTAGATAATTTATGTACATTGTTGCAAATGAAACACAGCACTCATAGCAAACACATTTTCATTCTCTGCCTTGAGTACCAAGTGCTAAAGTACTTTAATGAAAGTCCTGACAACCATTATAGCTGGTGAACAAGCACTAATGTTAAAGTAAAAAAAAATGAAAAGTGACATTTTGAATATACAGTATATGCAAAAAAAACATGACTTGTTCTCTGCTGCTAAGTATAAACTCTTTGAACATGTTATAACATGTTACTCATTTGGCTTTTTCCATATCTAGTACATACCTGGACAACTGACTGCTAGCAATTCTTCTTTTTCAAACTCAACTGTGCATCCAATGATGCCTCATAGCTACTCCCACAAACTCGGCATTGCAATCCTTTCAGTTGCCTTCATCATTGGTTTTCCAGGCAATGCATTCGTCATCTGGTCAATTTTAAGGTGCATGAAGAAGTGCTCCGTCACCTGCCTCCTCATCTTACATTTGGCAATTGCGGACATCATCGTTATGCTAACAGCACCTATATTCCTCCATCTTCTATCCACCGGCAGCTGGATATTTGGCAATATCATTTGTAAGATTTGTCATTACATTAGCTGCCTCAGTATGTACGCCAGCATCATCCTTATTACCGCTATGAGCATAGACAGATATATTGCTGTGGCAAGACCTATGAGCTCTCTCTCTGTAAGAACAAAGTTGGTTGTTGGCAAAGCCATATTGGCTATATGGGTTATGGCATGTCTGTTAGCCATTCCTATGCCAATTTATCGTGCAATAGAGACTATTAACAACAAAGAACAGTGTAGGCACATGCATAGCTCTCCAGCACACATCATTTTTCAATATGTGTTTGAAACAGTGACTGGTTTTGTGATCCCATTTGCAATGATCATGTCCTGCTACGTCTACATTGGATTGAGGCTGCGTAGTGCTAAGTTTCAAACCAAGCATAAAACAAGTCGGCTGGTGGTGATGATCATAGTGGTGTTTGCTCTATTCTGGCTTCCTTACCATGTGGTGAATATGATTGAGGTGTCAGGGGAAGTGTCCTCATCAGAGAAGCTAAGAAAAGCAGCCCGCCTTGCCAGACCTAATGTCACAGCCCTTGCATTCCTCAGTAGCAGCATAAACCCTATTTTGTATGTGTTTGCAGGAGGTAGTTTCATTCGGACAGCTGGGGTGGAATTTATGGCCAAGCTCTTTGAGGGAACTGGCTCAGATACGAATAGTGTTTGGAAGATCTCCCAAGTTTTTAGACAAAAGAGTCATGAGGAATGTATGGATTTAAGGAACACCAATAAAACGATTCCAGAATAACTCCACTATTGGCAAAGAGAAGGTGTGCTGTGTAAATAAAACTTACCTCTACCACTGATCTACCAATTCTTTGCAAGTATTTCCCATTCCGGGCCTTCCGTAGTGAAAAATCTGTAAGTAATACAGATAATGAAGACCAACATTATCCTGACATGATTACGGGAGAACAAAAAATAAATAAATATATGTATGTATATATGCATGCACTACAGATGTTGTCATTTAAACAAACTAGTTTCCCAGCTTAAAGTAGAACTAAAGCCAAAACTTTTTTTTCGTTTTTGGAAGAGTATAGAAGGGTTAAAACCCCCGTCAGCTTTTTTGTTTTGCCATCTGTCATCTGCCATCACCTGGGAAGGTTTCGCTTCACTTCCTGTCTGATAGCCACAACGGGAAGTGAGTGGAAATCCCTTCAAAGAGAGGCAAATCCCTTGGGATGAGCAGGATCACCAAAACTAGTGTCTCCAATGGAAGAGTTCCCATCTATTCCTGTTCTGGTGACCACCCAAAATTTGTGATTTTCTTTTACTTTCAATCATAATGGTCTCCAGAACAAATAGAGAGGATGAATCTCCCTAGTAGGGACACACCAATAAAAACCTGACAGGTCTTCAAATCCCTCTCCACTCTATCCAAAGCGAAAATAAAAAGTTTTGGCTCTCGTTGATTGTTAAGCATCCTTTAATTTGAGATTTGCTCCTAGTTTCTTCCTAATATTTGTACATGCAATTTAATTTTGCAAGATGAAATGTTTATTTTTTTTTTTACAATACATTTATTTTAATAGAACAATACTGAATAGGATTCATATTAAAGGGTTGTTAAAACATAGAACATTTTCTGTTCATTGTATTTTCATGTCTATTACGCCAATAAACAGTAGATTAGGAAATAAAAACATGTATTAAACTGAAGCTTAGAAAAATATGGTGTATTTAAAAAGTGTTTGGCTTTGTAGCGTTGCTAGAGGTCTAAACAAGTGAGGTCATTTTTTTTCAACCTCTTGTAAAACATCATGGGGAAGTTACCGAGTCATTTCCTATAAGCCTCTTGCTGATTTTATAATTTCATTGTTTCAACACATCTTCAAACTGACAGTGAGATGTGCAGGCCAGTCTAGCAAATGCCAGGCAGAAATACATACAGTATACAGGGCTGTCATTCCTACAATATAAATATATCTCTGAGTGCCCGGTTTTTTCATCTACACAACTCTGCCAGGCTGGTGACCTGACATTTCTCTACTGCAGTTGAAGCTCAACTAGATACGCAAAAACTTTCAATTAAATATTTTTGGTAATAGTCACAAAGGATGTAAATCCACTCTATGTGCACCAATTGGCTTTGCAAGCCCAAATAATACCTTGAAAAAGTAGGGGAGACATCGTCACTGTGCTGCACATTGGCTACTTGTCCTGCCCCTTTCCCAGTCTACCTACTGCAGGGGATACGAGAAGCTTATACCAGGTCAAAATCAGATTCTTACACTATTTACATCGAATAATGCTTTTTTAATGAATGGCAATGCAACGCACAAGCACACCTAGCATGTGCAGCGCTGCGTTATGTAATAGCATGCGCTAAACACACAGAAGCTGTGCCTTTTGAGAAACGCTCTGGTGTAAATGTGCCCCTAACGAATTAAGAGAAATAATTGTAAAAAACAACAAGTAATACATGATGAAAATCCTTCCTGATTCCTAGCATTGTACAGAACACCTACCGCTAGGTTATGATGAAGAGGAGTGGGGGAGATGTTGTGTAATCCTAACACACTTCCTGTTGTAGGGTGACAAATCACCTCCTGCATAGATACACTACAGTGAGCTTTGTCACCCTAGGACAGAAAGTGTGCTACAAGCAGGACCACAAAGTAAAAAAATAAATATAAAATAATACAATAAATAAATAAATAGAAAAAAAAGGTAACATGCCTTGGTATGGTATATGTGCATGTAAACCTAACAATTAACTTTTCTTTTTTGTACCTTTTTAGTCTGTTAAATATACTTGTGAAAGGGTTTTTGTTAACTAACTTTGTCCGATAAGTGCAAAAAACGTCAGTTGATTATACAGGGATCCCAGTCTATTGGCTATTGCAAAGTGCAATAGCCAATAGGAATCTAGCTATGCATTCGTATTCCTTTTTTTATTTTCTTACTGACGGTCGGGCCGCGGCTCCCGATGTCAGAAAAGAAAAAAAAAAAACGATCGCAGGGCAGGGAAAGGTTTAATCTGCTCGATCGGGCAGATAAATCTTTCCGGGAGGAAGTGTTTCTCTCCCGGGCGGCCGGGAGCTGCTATCTAATAGCGGGAGACTCCCGGAGTGTGCGGGAGAGTTGGGATGTCTGATTATATCAGAAATGTAACGCTGTTCTGTGTCTTTGTCACAATTCCTGTGTTATGTCAAGGAACTTAATTAGCCCTCACTGTTCTTATAGTGGAAGTAAATGATAATTAGCCTTCATGTTGTGGAGATGGAAGAGTGGGGAGAAAGGGGTAATGTCGAGTAGTTTAGCAGAAGACACTGGGCAGGGAGGACACCATTTAGTTCACAAAATTGCTGTGTGCCGTCAGCCAACAACAAGACTTCTGGCAGATCAACAAGTAATTTTCTGAAATGTGCAAATACTGCAGAGGTGTATTGTATGTTTTTTTTTGCCTTTAAATATATATAGGGATACATATATAGGGATCCTGCCATAAGCTGGAGTTTCCTTAACCGATATTTACAGGGTTATTCACAAAAGGGTGAAGAGTTTGCAGAAGACAGGTGAAGTGAACAATCTAGGCCAAAATAGCTGATTTGGAAAAATTCTCCAATTCAGTTCACTTTCTAGTTCAGCTATTTTGGCCTAGATTGTTCACTTCTGCCTTCCAGAAAACTCTTCACCCTTTTGTGAATAGCCCTGTTAGTGTTTGCAGCTAGGCTGCAGCCTGAGTTCTGATGCTCATGTTATCTGGGTTTCTTGGGTTTTCCTAAGCCCCGAACATTATTTGCTTCTGCCTGCTACTGGGGAATGTTCTTCAGTGGATAGAGTGAGAAGATACAATCACTGCCAATGATGTAAGCTAAGGAAAGGAATACATATTTAAGGAGACCTTCTAGTAGGGTCCTCAACTAGTCTATGAGAAGGACTGAAGATATTTAAAGTGGACCTTTACCCATATCTTCAAAATAACAACAAAGGCACATTAGAAATGTTTAGTGATCACAATCTACAATCATAATTATACTTAAACATAATTGGTAGCATTTTATTTTTTTTTTGCATACCTTGTTTCTTTTTTCTTCCCCTTTCTTCTCATGGTGGCCATTTTAACTAAGGACAGATTAATATATCTCCCTTTTCTTCCTGGAACTCTGGCACATGTGACTAGGACATGAGACCATGCACATCATTTCAGGGGAGAAAAATGCCTTTCCCTGAGATCTTGTAAGATTACAGGTGAGATTTCCCAGCAATGCTCCGCTGATGTAACCTTCCCAGTACGCAATGCTTGGGCGCGATTACATAATTTGTTCCAAAGTGGAAGAGGAAGTGGGAAAAAAAAAGAAATTGTAAGTGAAATAGAAATATGTTTGTTTAGCTAATGAATGTAAGATGATTTTATATCAGCATGCAGAGCTGTATGCTGATGTGATTTTTAGTCAAAGGGGTAAAGGTCCACTTTAAAGGTAGCTGTTCATCACCTTTGGCAGGGGCATAAAGATACTGGGGTGTGAATTTATCAAAACTGGAGCAGACAGCTCATGTCAGTTTGTTTAGTTAAGCTTTGAAAATTAAATATCAAAGCTGATTGATTACTATGGGAAATTGCTCCAGATTCTATCTGCTCCAGTTTCATTAAATTCCCCTCTGAGAGTCCACTGAGAAGATACTACTGAGTGGAGGGAGTTTTTACTGCTGTTTGGGGGTATCCTGTACCTTCAACCCTCTATCTCCTACAAATTTGAGCCAATAAAATCTGCAAAAAAAAAAAAAGGAATGACAGAGTAGAAGTCTGTTTGTCGATCTCCATTGGTGAGTCAGTGAGCGTTTGGGTGCAGCTACAAGTCAAATCACCAGAAGAAGGGCTAGGAGGGCCTGTAAGATCTAACAGCTCCTTCAGGGGTTAGGGCTACATACACTTTGGAAAAAAAGAAATCTAATGCAACACCACATCTAAGAACCAATAAACTGCTATGTATTACATTTTTGTTCTTCGATTTAGATACATCTAGATTAATGAGTGGAAAAAAACTAATGGATACAATTATGAGTCTTTAACCAGTTGACTTCCGCGGTGTTAAACCCCCTTCGTCGCAGATGTAGCAGTGCCGTCCGTCCGTTTTTTTACTACGGGCGGATGGCAAGAGGTTAAAATGACTCTGTCAACAAAGTGAAGGCTGTCCCTGTAAAGAAGAAAATGAATTCTACCTCTCCTAAAGCCCACCCACCAAGTAGGGTAAAATATTGCAATTTGTGCATATTATTTATCCTTTTTTTTTTTAGATATTCAGGTCAATAGAAAAATAAGATATTTTTTTAATTAATTATATTCAGTCTGCCAACTCTCAAAACTTGCTGCCCTACATTGCCTCCAGGGTACAGCATATTGTTCAAAAAGGCAAATTACTGGAGAATTCAGAGCCTTAACATAATGGAAAGGAAGGAAACAGGACATTTTTAGCTTTGATAAGGATAATTGGCTTTTCAGTGTTTTATTACAGACTCGGCAAGACCTTCTTTTTTTTTTTCAGTCTGGGAATATGTGCAATCAACTCCTAGTTTCCTAGTCATGGGAAAGTCACAGCTATTTGTTAAAACTACTGGCATGCCTCTTATATAGGGGTAGCCAAACAGTGCCAAAGTTTCCCTATGCCTAGGTGGTTGCAAAGTTGCCTCTAAGCAATCTGCAGATGTCTCAGTGGAGTAACTCTTACTGATGGACCAAGGCTAGGAAGCTAGTAGCTAGTAGGAGTTTAACATCTAAATAAATGTAAGCTATGTTGTTGGGTAGTCATT